CGTACCAATTCCTAAAAGACCGGCACGAGCTTTCTGGCAGTGTGAGTGTCCATGGGCGGGCGGTATCACTTAACATCAGGCAAGCCTTCCGTCCGTTTGCTTCCTGTGATAATAAAAAGTTATACAATCTAAATATGTTTGTATCAAGATAATTACATAACAAAAAAGGTGCTGAAATGCAGCACTCCAGCGATGCCACGATGGTTCTTTTACCGCACAGAATATAGAACTTGACAATCATAGGCTATATAAGAAACTATGTATAATTTCTGGCCAACTACCACTTATTAACCGGACATTATACAAAGCAATTCAAAGTTGACAGATGGTTGACAGAAACGCTTGAAATCAGAATGTTTTCACGTTCAATTGAAAGTCAACTCTATGTTGTTGACATAAATTCCATTTCGCTCAAACGATGAATTTGTCTTGGGTGGTTTATCGCGGAAATGTGAGATTTTGCAAAAGAGTCGTCTGCTGATAGGACATAAATCATGCTTACTTTTCCGCATTTAAAAATGGAATCTTTAAATACGCTATAACCATAAATGAAAAATGAATTACTTAGGCGAATAAGAAGTTGTTTTAAAACAAATTCCCGTTTATATTTGTATGTAATATCGTTATATATGGATTATGTAGGGATATTATTAATCCCTACATAATGTAGCCAGCCCTTTTGGTGACCATTGTGTTACTGCGCTGTTGAAATAGCCAAAGCAGAATGGATATTTAGTAACTTCGTTTAATTTAAAGCACAAACAAACAAGAAGTTTACGAGGGCAACGGGTGGTCCTTTCATTAATAAGCGATGTCTTCCACGCAACCATAACGTGGATAGTTTAAGTTTAGGAGTTGATTTATACCTTCTTAATGCCTAGAAGTCCACTGTCTCACTTGTAATATCAATTATTATTAATATAGATTAATAATCATAAATCCCTCAGTTCTATTGTCAAAGACAATTCTAGAGTTGTTAGTCTATGGCGCATGGATTGGAAGTCACGAAGGTGCACTAAATGACCTCGCCGACAAATCGAGACGAATTGGATCCATTCTTTCTATTAATATGTCTGACTTAGATACAGTTTTAAAACAGTAGACTAACAAATTTTTTAGTATAATATAGAACCAGTTCTTTAACAGTTGCATTTAAAGCGAAACTTTAGTGACGTAACTCACTAACGCTTCACCCGCTATGGAAATATAAAATTCTATGCAAATTTTACATAACATTTCTTCACGTTACCATTACCATACAATTATTATAGTCTATTGGCGGTAGCAGTAGCATAACCGTGCAGTTGAGTCTTACAAATATGAAACACAATGTTTAATTGTTAAAATTCAAAATGTTTATACGAAAACATTGCGCTGTAACATTTTTAATACAAATATGAACGCTACACATACTTTGCCAAATTCACGATAAAGCTGTCAGGTCTGCCGTAAAATGCATTTGTTATTTTATAATAGAAACAGTAAAATAAAATAAAATATGTTCATTATGGAACATAAGATACAGGTATCACTTATTCCACGTCATTAAATTTGTATCGGCTAGCACATCCCTACTCATCGGCAAAGAAGACAGAGGGTGTAGGTCGAGAGGAAAAGCCGGCGTAAAAACTCTCGGTACTCTTTTAATGTTTAACGATAATAATAATAATAGTCCCTATCATTTTGTCTACCACCGGAATAATCCCCAAATAGTTACACGAATCTATCAAATTGTTAGACCTCCCGAAATCCATTTACATCATCCTTTTAAAAGCAATTATATTAAATACGGCATAAAATAATTTCTACAAGATAACCTATTAATAAAAATAGGTAAAAAAACTTTTTAAGTTAAACGGTTTTATGTTAAACATACATTGCAATGTTTAAGATAAATGTACTAAAAACAAAAAAATAATAAAATAGATACAGTCGTGGGAATTATAAACATATGCATAGACTAGACTAAAATAAAACCGTGGGGCACGTCAATTGTCTACAAATTATCGACTTAATGTGCGATAGAAGAATCGTTTAATTCGTCGTTAAAATAGGCAGTTGGCCCGCAGACGGTCAGGAAATTACTTACTATTTTCTTGCTCATGGAAATTCCAATAGTTATACACTCCATGTAAATAAAAGAGATGTTTCAACTAGTTTATCGTTGGACTTTCACACTGCTGGCTGGCGAGGAATCGTTTCAACAGACAATTGACATGCCCCACGGTTTTATTTTAGTCTAGTCTATGCATATGTTTATAATTCCCACGACTGTATCTATTTTATTATTTTTTTGTTTTTAGTACATTTATCTTAAACATTGCAATGTATTTTAACATAAAACCGTTTAACAAAAGTTTTTTTACCTATTTTTATTTTCTAGTTTTTAGTTTTTATTTCGCATTCTGTTTAATTCATTTAGTGCTTCATTATTGCAAGGTTCCTTGCCCGTTAGTTTATATAAATAAATCAATTCTATAATACAAATATAATATATATTTAATTAATAAAATAGATACAGTTTTTAATATAATGTTATATATTATATAATATTTATTTATTTATTTATTTAGTTTATTGTATTGTCACCAAAATCCAAAGTGTATACAAAATTTCAGATTAATCGGTTGACAGGAAGAGGGTGAAATTTGAATTACTAAATTTGACCCAAGAATAAAACAAACGGGGTGAGCTAAATAAAACCATTTAAAAACTGTATTCAGTTGGCTTAGGCCCGTGTGTAACAGTTTACCAGGATTGATTAATTAAATCCTGAGCTGATTAAGTAAACAGTTACAAAACATAATAAAAATAACACTTTATTTACATCACAATAACACAACACAATGATTTGAGAACTGGCAGTAAATGTAAAATTAGAAGCATTTAATGTATATTTCTTTTTTGATGTTCATAAGTGTACATTGTGTCACCTATATGAATAAACTAGTAGACTGGGCCAAGCGTTGCTATGGCTAAGATTTTTGTTATATTACATAGTAGTAAACTATTCAAGAGAAACGGCAGGAGAACACCAATCCACCATGCTTTTTTGGTGGTTATGCCATTAAATTGTAGCTTATGTGAAACGTTGGTATTACTATTATTATTTATACGAATAAAGAGCCTTTTCTAGAGGTGGTATTTAAAAAAAAAAAGGAAAGGACGCTTATTGTGACGTAACTATAAATATATATTATAGTATAGATTATTTTTGACTTTGACACAAAACAAGACAACAATCTTATATTAAATGAGGACAAAGGATCTAAATGGGCGGTCTTACCGCTAAACGCAGCCATTCCAGACAACCATCTAAACGAACATCTGAAACCAATTTGTCGATTTTTGTCCTTTTTTATTCGAAGTTAATTGTCAAAATTAAATAAACCCGTTGCATATTTACTCAAAAGAAACATTAATTCGTCGAGTTATTAAATTAAAGATTAAAAATATGTCGATTTCGCTTATCGGAACCATCAGCAACAGTTTTAAAGTCGATTCACGCATGTCATATGTAATCCCCCGATGTTCCGATTTTAATAATCCCCTGGGTACTCTTCTAACGGCCAATTACAATAACGTTGTAGTGTTTTAATTTTACACTGAATTATTTTACTGATAATACCAAAAATTTTACACGTATAGATTCCTTTTTGGTTCTCAGATACCGGCAAACATCTTGACCAAATGTCCTTGCCTGCGCAGAAGCGATTTTTAGGTATCACTGGGAGTTTGGGGCGGTCGATCGCGTGATTGGTAAATCAGTTGACATTTGTGTCCCCCCCCCCCGCCCGGGGCCAAAACTTCCCCCCCCCCCTTTTTTAAAGCCCAAGAGGGGGGCCGGGCCCCGGGAAAAATTAAAATAAAAGGGGCCCCAAAAATTTTTTTAAAACACCCCCCCCCCCCCCCCCCCCCCCAAAGAAAAAAACAAAAAATTCCCCCCCCCCCGGGGGGGGGGGGGGGGGGGGGTTTTTTTTTTTTTTCCCCCCCCCCCCCCCCCCTTTTTAAAAAAAAACATTTCCGGGGGGGGGTTTTTTTTTTCTACCCCCCCCCCTTTCCCCTTCTTTCCCCCCCCCCCCCCCCCCCCGGTTCTCTTTTTTCCCCCCCCCCCCCCCCCCCCCCCCCCCCCCCCCCCCCCCCCCCCCCCCCCCCCCCCCCCAAAAAAAATTTATTTTTATTATTTTATCCCCCCCCCCCCCCCCCCCCCCCCCCCTTTTTTTTTCTTTATAGGATAAGACGGTTAAGTGTAAATTGTTTTCAGTTTTATTAAGGATTGCTGTTTAAAAACACAGAGAGAGTTTATTAAATTTACGCTACATTAAATAGCCGTAGTATTAAATTAATAAAACGTATAAATAATAGTAATTCAAAAAAACTCATCAATTATAAATGCACCTCAGATGTATCTGTAATTGTAAAATTGGATTTTATAAATCGAATTAAATTAAATATAAAGTTATGATAAAGAATTATTGAGATTGGCTCGACAAGTGTTTTGAGAGGATGTCAATCAAAGCGTATTTTATAATCCACCGGTCGGCGACGGCTGGACCTTAATTAGGTATGTCATCATTTTTTTTCATTTATTTGCATTTCATTTCTGAGAAAGGATTTATGAATCTCTGGCGAATTATTTGAAGTATGAGTCGAGAGTGCTTTCGGAGCTGTAGGTACTCAGTAAATCCACATATAACACTTCGCTATAACGACTATCCGCTTTTAACGACGATAATGTTTACTCAAGTTAGGTTTCATAGTTAGGTACTGAGAAAATGTAACCGTTTAGTGCGACTCCGGTTTAAGCGACCAACTGCTTAACGACCATATTTATGATAATACGTCCGGTTAAAACGACGCGCAATGTTGTGTTTACACAACCTACGCACCAATACCTCGGCGCCCCAACTTCACCCCGCCCCGCGTGCATCCTTAGTGGCGTGCGTAAATCATAGTTAGTGTTTGTCACTTGTTATGACAAGTTCTTAAAGCTCGACAAAATGAGTTCTGTGAAGCGAAAGTGTTATACAATTGAAGAAAAAAGTGCAATATTATTCCGATTAGAAGCCGGTGAATCAAATGCAACCATCGCAAAGGAGTTTGGCGTATCTCATTCTACAATTTCTACAATAAAGAAGAATAAATATAAGATCGAGCCGCTGTTTAGTGCTAATGTTTTGAAATGCAAACGTGTAAGGACTTCTACTCATGAGCAGGTGGATAAGGCATTGTTAAAGTGGTTTAAGCTTCAGCGCGACCAGGGAATACCCGTTAATGGGCCTCTGCTACAAGAGAAAGCAAACTTTTTTGCTAGACAGTTAGACATGCAAAATTTCACATGTTCGATGAGTTGGATAAACCGTTTTAAAGTAAGACACAACATCGTCAGTGGTAAGATTGCTGGCGAGTCTTTATCAGTTCAACAAGGTGATGTAGTCGATTGGTTAGAAAAGGTTTGGCCTATTCTGCGTGCGCAATTTAGAGATGATGAAATTTTTAATGCAGATGAGACCGGGCTGTTTTATAAATTAACCCCAGACAAGACTTTGAAATTTAAAAGCGAAAAATGTACAGGAGGGAAATTATCAAAGGAGAGAATTACTGTGATGGTAGCAGCCAACATGAGTGGCACTGTTAAAAAAAAACTTCTCGTAATCGGAAAATCTCAACGTCCCAGATGTTTTAAGAATGTACGGCATTTGCCAGTGGATTATGAGAGCAATCAAAGAGCCTGGATGACTGCTGACATTTTTAACAAATGGATACGCGCATGGGATCGTGAACTTATGAAAAAGAACAAGAAAATTCTGCTGTTAGTTGACAACTGTCCTGCACATCCCCATATTGAAAACTTGAAAAACATAACCCTGGTATTTCTGCCTCCAAACACAACATCAGTGTTGCAACCCATGGATCAAGGGATTATTCGAGCTTTGAAATCACATTTTCGTAAAAACCTTGTCCTGAAAATGATCCAGTTACTAGACGGTCGCGGAAGCAGTAGTGTTGATTACTCAAAGATAACTGATGCTATTCTAATGATTCAAGATGCCTGGACCCAACTCAAGCAAGACACAATTTTTAACTGTTACAAACACGCTGGTTTTGTCCGAAGCAATGTAGACTGTAGCGTAACTTCGAACGCAGATGATTTTAACGAAGAAGACGACGTACCGCTGAGCACTTGGGTGAGGGCTATTGATAAACATCAGTTACTTATAACAAACGAGGAGTTTGAACAATACGCGTATGTCGATGATGCTGTCGCCACTTGTGAAGAACCGTCTGATGAAAACATTGTGGTAAATATCATCGCCAACGACGCGAATGGCAAGGATAGCGACGGTGATGATGACGAACCAGAGGAGATTCATCCTACCGTGAGTGTGTCTGAAGCTCTGAAGGCTGCGGAAACGCTCAATGAGTTTGTTCAAACTAACTTCGATGATGATCTTATGAAAACAATGATGTCACGAATGCACAATGCTGTACGAAGTTCTTATTACCGAACAAAAGTTAGTCAAAAACAAACTCAAATAAATGACTTTGTACGTTAGTTAGTAACAGAGTTTTAGTGTAGTGCGTGTGTATGTATTTTATCTCTTTGTATTACAGTACATAATGTACATAACTATTTTTGTAATTTGGAATGTTTAAGAACCATTAAAATGAAGCTTTATGTGATTCCTACAAAATGTTTTATTTACCTAAATAAGAAAATCAAACTTTCCCAATTATAATAAATATGTATTCGTAAGTTAAGTACATGGAATATTTCTTAAGTACATACATTCATATGTATTCTGTATGTACTTAAGAAATAATCCGTTTTGTACGTCATCCGGTTAGTACGACATAGTATCGCCGGTCCCTTGAAGGTCGTTATATCCGGATTCTACTGTACTTAGTAATGATATCCCATGCTCTTATACATAGCTGAAATTTTACGATAGTAAAGAACATATTATATAGGATAACAATTTTTAAGCGCTAAAGTACAATTTACAAATCTTTGGGTCAATCTCATGACTAATTATTCTTGTGTTCCAGAATTAAGGTTTGTTGGTTTGGTTTGTGGAACTAAGGTTTCATAAACACCCACCAGGGGCGCTGTTCATGTTTTTCATACAAGAATGAATTGCAATTGTTTTGTTACGTAGATAATTCAATAATAAGCAAGTGTCATTAGTGTAAAAGTAGTTTTTTCCTACTCAAACACTATTTAAATGGCCTGTTACCTATATTTATAAGTCTGTTTACTTACCTACAATACAGTAGTTACCAACAGGATATATTTTGGAATATATTAATTAGTAGATAAAAGCAAAAACAAATGAATAACGTCTTCTACTAATTATTCGCATAAAGAACTCAAATTTATAAGGCGGCTTAAAGTGTAACATGCAATTTATTTTTTTCTGAAAAGTTCTCAATCTTCACGTCAATATAATTATTATATCAAAATCTTTTATGTCGTACCAATTCATGTATATATTCTGATCGCTGGAACAATATAAAGGACATAATTTTTTTTTCTTTACAATATTTGGGATTAGGTGATTTTTTATTTCATTATATTCGTCAAAGTTCGTATACTTAAGGTCTGTTTCACAATGTACGGATAAGTTCTACATAAGTTCCAAATTAGCTATTTATTACTTATTGGTAGGATAAACACTATTGTTGCGTTTCACGACTGTCAGATAGCGCTAATCGTCACATAAAGTCCATCAAAAGTTATGAGTCCGATGAAGTGTCAAATAGCACAATTTATCTTACAAACAATTTATGCGTTGCATAGCTATTTGGTACTTAATCCATACATTGTGAAACAGACCCTTATAACCGTATAAGATCAGTGCAACATGCTCCACAAAACGTCGGGAGATAAAAATATTAATTGCAGAAGAATGGGAACGTATCCCTCAAAACTTTATTAAAAATCATCGTGAACCCATGCCCAGAAGGATTCAAGCTGTGATTTTAGCAAGGTCACACTTTTTATTAGGTTTTAACATTTGTTATTGTATTAAATTAAAATAAGTAAAACAATCTTCTGGTCTTTATTGTTTGGCATCGGTTTTAAATAATTCATCAAAAATTCTTAAAAAAAATTGCCAGAATTCATCACTTCACGCGTATTGATTTACACGATTACAAGTACATACTACGTCAGACAATTAAATTTTATTTAATTTACTGAAACCTTAGAACGTAAACTTCCTTAGGTGCCCTTATTTTATGCAAAAGAGTTTTGTTCATAGAGGAATCACGCTACCTTATAAACGTGAGGGAATACGGGGCTAGTCATAAGGTCTTCGTCTGTCCCAAAAATGGTTCCCAAGACTATAAAGATACATAAAACAGTAGCGATGTTTTACAAACGGTAAATTGGTTTAAATTCCGAGAATTGCTCGCATCACAACCTCGCCACCGTGCCACACTGTGGGAATAACATTAAGAACTTTTATTTGCTCAAATTATTAACTTGGGAGGCCTCGATTAATTACCTCAAACGCTTCAACGCAATTAAAATAACGTAAACTTAGAATTTAGCTTAAGAGTATGTTTTTATTACAAGCTCCATAAACTGTATGGGTTGGTCTAAGAAGTCTATAAAGTATGAGGGTGTGCAATTAGTTAATCAATTACCCTCTAAAATTCGTCATATTAGCTTGTTTAATCAATTCAAGGGCATTAAAGATGCATATTAGAATGAGCCTACTAGACTGAAATTGGGATAGCAGATGGCGACGCGTATCTCGTTCGTATATTATTAAGTTTCTCATGTAAATAAAAATGATTTTTTTGTAATGAGAAAGATCTTTAAACATTGTCTGCATGTTTCTGTTATCAGCTGTACTATTAAAATAAAATAAATCAGTGGCGCTACAACCTTTATTAGATTTGGTCCTCAGATTTCTGCAAGCAATCTGCAAGGCAAGTAGGTGACCAGCCTCTGTGCCTGACACACGCCGTCGCCATTTTTGGGTCTAAGGCAAGCCGGTTTCCTCTTCGTTTCTTTCCTGTTCGAGCGATTGTTAAATGCGCTCATAGGAAGAAAGTCCATTGGTGAACAGCCGGGGATCAAACCTACGACCTCAGGGATCAGTCGCACGCTGAATTCACTAGGCCAACACTGCTCACTGCTCTCCTTCTGTATTACGCCTGTCGATTTTTGGGTTCAATATGCCGATTACATCCTCAATTACTTCACGAAATTGCATTCATAGAGGAACTGGAACACGGTCTTAGAGTCGCACGCTTAATTGCTTTATCAAAACATTATTATATTTAAAATATTAAATAAACGAAGGAATATTTTTATATCTCGATTATATTGTTGCATGTTTATTTTGTAGGAGTAAATTGTGTCGTAAAGGTGTCGCAGATTCAAGGGTAACGAGTGGTCAAAGTAACTAGTTTTTTATAACCTGTGGGTATCAATTATTTTTATAACCTCATCAATTGAGGTGTATTACGTAGGCGAATTTATGTATAATTTAATTTATTTAATATTTTATTTTACCGCCTCCAATTTAGTGATAAATGTCGCTGTAGGACCGTGGATACTATTTAGGGTTGGTGAGCATGGGGCATTGATAGCCCTCAATTGATTAACAAAAAGAACCTTGTATCTTCCTTGTTTATTATAGCTACTAGTTTGTTTGTCGTTCTCCTAATTTATAAATTTTGTGCTGTCATGTTTTGTCTTGTTTTGCTTTGTATTATATTTTTTATCAGTGAAACTTTTTGTGGATATGTCCAATGTGTTTATTTTATGTTTAACTTTATTTAATTTTTACTGGATAGAGATGTATCTATTTAGTATCCTTAATAAATAAAATAAACAAATACTGCCCTGCGATTCTGTAACTCACTTTTCGAACTCACACCGCGGTTTTCGCATCGGCGGTCGCTCTCAAATCAGTCGTGAAGCAGTCATTTTATGATTTGGCATTCTGAAAAGGTGGGAGCTTGTAGTTTATTGTTTATTAGAATGCCAAATCATAAAATGACTGCTTCACGACTGATTTCAGAGCGACCGCCGATGCGAAAACCGCTGTGTGAGTTCGAAAAGTGAGTTACAGAATCGCAGGGCTGATAATCTTTTAAAAATCTTATTAGACTCTAGTGTAGTGCTCTAAAAATGTTATTTCACTTAAAATACCATCTCATCTCCGAAGCTTAAAAATTCGTAACAAACTTTACTATTAACTTTTTAATCAATCAATCAATCAAAATTATTTATTTATATACGTAACACAATGTACAATTATGAACGTCAAAAAAGAAATATATTTAAATGCTTCTAATTTTACATTTTACTGCCAGTTCTTAAATCAAGGGCGTAGAATGGACGAGAAGGACTGGCAATAAACTCTTCACCACTCTTTTTAATCGCCAAGTTTTTTTTTGTTTTACACAATGTTTGTAAGGAGCTGCAACCATTACCCCATGTTCCACATGACGTCTTTAATAATTAATGGTTTATTAATAATAATAAAATGAATAAATAACAAAGATTTGTCCTCTATCAGCAGGAGACATGGTGAAATAGGAGTACGCACATTCATTCTCATGGGAACAACACGCAATTATCGCTGCGCAGCGATTTAAAATTTTTTTAGGTTTGCAAAGGCCTATATGAAAACAGGCAATATGGTGCAGGCTAATGCAGACTGTACTAACAAAGTGATAACATTCGATACACAATACAGATAAAGCGATAACATCATATGTTAAACCAGAAAATGGATAAGAATGCTCATTGTTCATTCGACCATACAATTAAGGACTAAAGAAGGGCAATATTGCGAAACGGAGAAAGGTAGCCATAAGTCCGATCGAGCGAACTTATTTAAAGTAATAAAAGGAATTTCTTAATGATGTTGGAGCCGATATTAATACGGAGCTGTCGAGCTGGATTTTAACTTAAATGTAGTTATAAATTACGTTTTTGGTGGTTATAAGATGGCTTGCGATGTAATGTCAGCAAAACTAGTGACAATATAGTCTTATCGATAGAATCGCTTCATATTATAAAGTCCGGTCGCGATTTCCATATAATCAAAAACTAAAGAACGTATTTTGTATAGTTTACACCGATAGTGTTATTTACCAAGAATGGGTTTAGTGTAGAATTTATTAAGGTTTCACGTTTTTTTTATTATTATATAGATAGGTAGGACTCACACTCAAATTGCCAGAAAGCTCGCATATGCGTTGCCGGCCTTTTAAGAATTGGTATGCTCTTTTCTTGATGGACCCTAAGATGGTTCGGAAATTCAGTGGGCAGCTGGTTCCACATACTGGTGGTACGCGGATAAAATGCCTTAAGAAACGCTCACTTGTGGAATTAATTCAACTGTTGAAGAGGTCGCAATTCATGCCGAAATACACAAAATCCTCGCTAGTTTTAAAAACTAGCTAACATTCCTTGTTTAAAAATATTGATTGATATTTGTCTGCCGCATGAACTTTTTAGTTTTATATTTCAAAAAAGCGATATGCGATATTTCTTTGACTATAACTGTAAAATCTTTAAATGGTAACT